GGGGGCGTGGCTCCGGGGCGGGGCGATCCCGGCCCGTGTCTCCTCCCCGGGGTTTGCCGCACGCTGCGGTCACCTCCGGGTTAGCGGGGAATTAACTCGGCAGCCGGGACTGCTCGCGGCCCGAGCCCCCGGGGCAGGAGCGTGGGGACCCGGCCCGTGTCCGAGCAGAGGCCGGGGCTTGGCGCTGGTCCGGGTGCCAGCGTGCCCGGCCCCGTGCGGGGCACAGAGCGACCCCTCGGACAGCTAAACCCCAGCCGGCGGTCGTGGGGCGCCTTGGGGCTAGCCAGCCAGCCGGGGGAGGTCAGAGCTCCTACTGGACCAGCGAGACTCTCTCCTGGCACTACCCGGCATCCCACGAGGTGGGTTGTGCCCACTGGAGTTGGAAGGTGCTTGGACCCTGGTTGCTGCTAATGCCGGGATCTAAAAAATGCGGCCACCCACTTAATAGAATTGCAGGTAACGGGGCCATAATAAACCCCTTGAGTCTTGTGGTCAGACCCTGCCCTGCGTCACGCTGGATGTCACTGGACAAGGTCTGTGATCCCACCTGAAGCCTGTGATGAAAAGATCAGTGGATCTGTGACTGCCGCACTGGAGTGCGAGCCTGTCCTTTGAAACCTGGGAAGTGCCGAGCGACATGGAGCGTGGGAGCCGCTCTGCATTGTGCCGAGGGTGACCAGATAGAAAGTGTGAAAAATCGGGGAGGGGGGGGGGGTAACAGGCGCCTATATAAGAAAACCCCCCGAATATCAGGACTACCTGTATAAAATTGGGACATCTGGTCACCGTAATTTTGCCTCTGTAGCTAGATCAGGGTATGCTCTCTGGCTCAGTTTTCACTTGCTATCCTTGCAAACAGGTTCTGGAACTGGACTTGGAGCAACAGGGTGTGGTGCCTTTACAACCCCTTTCCGTCCCGCAACAAACGGTGAGAGAAACCCAGCTGGGCACAGCAGCAATTCCCCTGGCTGTAATGACTTCAGTCCAAGCCGTGGAGAGGAAGGTGGAGGCTCACCTCACACGGTGGCTGAACCTGGAGGGGAGAACGGGGATGACTGAGAAGAAACTCATAGACTGTGAGAAGACAATGGTGGAGTTTGGGAACCAGCTGGAGAGTAAATGGGCCGTGCTGGAGACTCTGATCCAGGAGAATAATCTGCTGCAGAGGAGGCTGGAGAACATGGAGAACCTGCTGAAGAACAGGAACTTCTGGATCCTGAGACTCCCCCCAGGCACTAAGGGGCAGGTCCCCCAGGTAACAGTGTCCCAGCTGCAGAGGGATGCGAGCAAAATATAACAGAGAATTATCAGATGGTCTTGTTCATTCACTGTGCTGTGAATTCTTGGGACCACTTTGGGATGCCCCAGGAGCCACGGCACTATAGGTGCAAATTCAAGAAGGAAGTGGTTGGTAGAGGGATGGGTGATGTATGTGGCCCCAGCACATACACAGCGAGGCTTGTCAGCAGCCTGCAGAGGGATGAAGGTTTAAGGATCAGCAGTGCAGGTGTCCCCTGGAGGTGGGGAGGTCCTGAATTCCTTTTAAGGTACAGGGACGGAAGAAAGGCTGCCTTGCCTTGTCCAGAGGGATCGTGACTGCCTGTGGTGACAATGGGGCTGGGGGGTGTTTGTGCTCCTTGTCTCATAACTAATAAAAGATGTCAGGAGCTGTTAACAGGATGGTACCAAAGCAGCAGGCACTGAGCATGCAACATGTGTGATTTCAGGTGCCGGTGACGTTCGATGACGTCTCCGTGTATTTCAACGAGCAGGAGTGGGGGAGCTTAGATGAATGGCAGAAGGAGCTTTACAAGAACGTGATGAAGGGGAATTATGAGACTTTGATCTCGCTGGGTAAGGATCTTTTTTCCCTCCTTTGTTAGAAGCGGTAAGTTGTGCGCAGTTCGTGGGCTGGAATCCAGCTTGGAGTTATCCTCCACTTACGCTCCACTTACGGGGGGGGAGGGATAGCTCAGTGGTTTGAGCATTGGCCTGCTAAACCATGGGTTGTGAGTTCAATCCTTGAGGGGGGCCATTTAGGGAACTGGGGTAAAAATCTGTCTGGGGATTGGTCCTGCTCTGAGCTGGGGGTTGGACTAGATACCGCCTGAGGTCCCTTCCAACCCTGATATTCTATGATTCTACACTGCATTTTGCTAGGTCAGCAATTGTAGCTCTCGAAGATTTTCTGAAAGTTCAACTCCGTGCATCCTCCCCTAGGAACAGAGAGTGAAAGTTACCCAGTGGTGGCTTGAGCTCTCCGTGTGCTGTGCTTTCTCCCGCTGGATAATAACTGCATTTATCTGCCCGAGTCGTCTTTACAGAAATCGATGATGTCCACGTCTGACTTCTCTTGGTTCTTATACACGCTCCGTCGCTGTAGGTAGCACCCATGTGCCTTATCCTCACAAATCCCCGTAAGGCAGGGCAGTAGCGGCACCATTTTATGGATGGGGAATTGAGATCCAGAGAGATGAAGAGCCACATTTTTAAATGCTCAGCCCCCACCACCGGGGCCAGATTTTGAAAAGAGCTGTGCTCCCACCATTCTGTGCTCTTTGGAAAATCCGCAATTCTTTGTAACGTCCTGTTCCCTGCTGTCATTCTTGTCTTTGAAATAGATTATGCCATTTCCAAGCCTGACATCTTAGCCCGTATTGAACAAGGGGAAGAACCCTGTGTCCGGGATCAGCAGGACTCCGAGAGAGTAGAAATCCCTGTGGAGCCTTGCACAGGTGAGTGCTGCTGCTTCAGTTAGCGTCCCTCTGGGTGCTCCGCTGTCGCTGTATCTGCGCCTCTCATTGGAGAATTTAAGTAGCAGTGTCTGTTCGGCAGCACATGCGCCCTCCCCCTTGTGGTCTGCCTCGAGGTTATCTAGTGCTGCACAGGCGACCGCCCTCTGCTATCGCCCTTAGCCCGGGAACGGAACAAGTCTTTTTCAGTTTTTAGTTCTTAGCATTTCTGTTAGCATTTGTAGTGCCTAGAGAGCCGCAGGGTATCTTATTTGTTTGAGTCTTAAAAAAAAAAAGAAAATCCTGTGTCGATCCATTTCCCAAGGGGTCCTCGAACCCTGCTCCGCCCCAGGCCCCGTCCCCACTCCACCTCTTCCCCTAGGCCATGCCCCACCCTGCCTTTTCCATTCCACCCCCAGCCTCACTCTACCTCTTCCTGCCCCTCCTCCTTCCCCTTGCCCCCTGCGCCTCCTGCTCACCTCAGCAGATAGGAGGTGCTGGGGGGAGGAGAAGGAGCTGACTGGTGGTGCCTGCCAGGGGGTGCTGAGCACCCAATATTTTTTTCCGTGGGTGCTCCAGCCCCAGAGCATCCAAAAAGTGGGCGCCTAAGTAGGGGCATGACCGTTTCCTGCCCTGCTTTAAAAGGGGCCTCTCCTGCAGGGAGGCATTGCCAGTGATGGACGGACGCTTGTTGTGTCCCGTGTCTTTCGGAGAGGCATGTATTCCGCGGAAGTGCATCTTCTGCCAGCAGCTGAAGGCTAGATCCCGAAAGAACCGGCAACAAAACTTGAAAATCCTTCCCTTGGAGGGTGCTCTTAAACTGGCGTCTGACCCTGGTCCCGAATCCTCTCCAGGATGAAGGTCGTCTCCAGAGAGGGAGAACCGCAGAGAAAGTCGGCTGACTGCCCCTCCAAAGTCTCTAGAAAAAAGCCCTCAAACCGAGCTCTAGACCAGCCAAAGGGGATCCCCAGTGTGTTCGGTCACTTCGGCACCAATGACTCCAAAGTGTGGCACCAAGAGCTCCATATGCCTTGGGACCCACGTCATGCCAAGGGACCCACGGGGCCCAGGCTGGGGAACGGGCACCACTGTCGGTACCGTCTCTACAAAATCGGTGCCAACAAAAAGATCCTTAGCATGGAGCACTTCAAAGCAGCTCCGTCGGAACGAGCCGCACATAAAAGGTCATCGTTACCAATGAGTCAGCATCAAAAACAGTCCCTGACAGCATCGACCACAGTGGTACCACCGGAGTTCTGCTTCTCTAGGGACCTTATGGTTATGGAGGAACCAGAGTCCCCACTACTCAGTCCCCAGGCTCCAGCACTGAGCCCATCTCGGTCCCCAGAACCACCATCGGCACCGGGGCGTTCACCTCCAGCACCCTTATCAGCCCCACCCTACTCCAGGAGGACCTCTTGTCTCTGGTCTTACGTCACAACCTTCCATTACAGCATCTGAGACCTACACAGCTGCACCCAGGCTCAGATCCCCAATCTTCCTGGTATGGTCACCCGTGGGTAGTGTCACCATGCCCTTCCCCCCTCAGTGGCCTTACTGGGATCCACGCGCAGCCTAGGGGGCCCCACGCCTCTCGGGGATCTAGAATCCCCCATAGAGAGTCCACCAGACGATCCCCTCTGGCCTCTGTATCCAGAGCCCCGGAGGCTTGGGAAGAAACTTTCAAGCAACAGGAGGCCAGACTAGAGGTGAAAACCACTCCACCGATGAACATCTCCTCCTCACCTGATGAGGTGGTGAGGCCCCTCCTCCATCATTAGCTGATGATTTTAAGCTTTTCCAAGAGTGTGGCTGAGGCTCTGCAAACTCCCTTCAAGGAAGTGAAAGACTCACACCACAAATTGTGGACATACTGCACGCCTCTTCCTCTTCCAGAATTGCCCTCCCAGTCAATGAGGTACTTTTAGACCCTGCCAAGGCCATCTGGCAGACGCGCCTCTATTGCACCAACCTGCAAGAGGGCAGACAAAAAATATTACATGCCCCTAAGGAGGTAGATTAGGCAGACTAGATTAGACCTGTTTGCCTACATAGGAGCCAAGGAGTGGAATGCTTAAAGGGGACTGTGTTTGGCTTCTTGTTAACCAGTGTGGTGCTACAAAAGCTCGTTTGATATTGGTTTGGTGGCTCTATTATAGAATAAACCACCAGTTCTGGGGGATTACGGGCCCTGTTTCTTGCAGTTTGCCCTGAGTGTGGCATTCTTAGAGTGGCTCATCCGGGCACCCGGTCACAGCTTCCAAAGTTGGTGCAATTCCAAACAAGTGGCTCCCACATCTTCCTCCCTCTCTTTGATCCTAGATTCTATTCTAGGTCTCAGAAGGTCTGGTCTCTCTATTAGCTCGCAGTTAAAGTACATCTAGTGGCCATAGCAGCTTTTCACCATCAGGTGGACGGTCACTCAGTATTCGCCCATCCAGCAACACGCAGATTCCTCACGAGCGTGAGAAACCTCTTCCCACAGGTCAGATCACCCACTCCAACGTGGGACCTCAGCTTGGTCCTGAAAACTTTAACTAGAACACCCTTTGAACCCATGGCCACGTGCTCCCTCCTACGCCGGTCCATGAAGACAGCATTCCTTGTGGCCATTACCTCAGCACGGCGGATGTGGAAATAGCAGTGTTGTTGGTGCACCCGCTCTTCACGGTCTTCTTTAAGGACAAAGTCACCCTGAGGCCACGTCTCATGCTCCTATCCAAGGTAACCTCATCCTTTCATATGAACCAACTAATTCACTTCCCCGCCTGTTTTTCAAAACCTCCCTGTGACAATAGAGAGGCGATACTGCATATGCTGGCTGTTAGGAGAGCCCTCGCATTTTATTTGGACAGAACTAAGGACTTTAGGAAGTCTGCTAAACTCTTCCTTTCATTCGCAGAAAGATCCAGAGGCACCACAATATCAGCTCAAAGACTCTTGAAATGGGTCTGCGGTTGCACTAACCACAGTTACCATGTGCGTTACCTGCTGCCCCGCCAGGAAGCCGCAAGCACTCCACGAGAGCCGTTTCTACCTCAGTCACGTTTCTTAAAGACGTCCCCGTCTCAGAAATCTGCAACGCAGCAACCTGGGCCTCTGCCCGTGCTTTCGCAGAACACTACGCGATTACTCGGGACTCAGCCTCTCATGCCATCTTTGGCTTCTCCTTACTATCGGCAGTAACAGACTCCACCCCGAAGCCCCAGCCTGCCATGGGGGATACCGCTGGGAAGTCGCTACAGTGGAGCACCCATAGGGACAGCACTCAAAGAAGAAGAGGACGTTACTCACCTTGTGCAGTAACGATGGTTTTTTGAGATGTGTGACCCTATGGGTGTTCCACCACCCACCCTCCTCCCCCGACTTCGGAGTTCTCGACAAGGGGCTCTGCAGTAGAGAAGGGATGGAGGGTGGTTCGCCCGCGCAGCGCTAGATGGCCTCCAGGCAGGCCACAAGGGAGGGAGAGCGCATGTGCAGGCCAAACAAACGCTGCTACCTAGATTCTCTGATTAGAGGCGCAGGGGCCCAGATTTACCTACAGTGGAACATCCATAGGTATCCTACTCGGAGAACCATTGTTATTGCACAAAGTGAGTAACTTTCTCTTTAATCTGAAGCTCTAAATCCTTCGAAATCGGTCATTCTTTCTATGCCAGGATCCCTCTTGCCGCCTAACCGCGGCCCCTCCCCCATGTAACAATAAAGGAAGGACTGAGGGACTGCGACCAGTTCGTGAGCCTTGGGCTTAGAACCCAGGTTCTCAGTCTCAGGGATTGAGGTCTGGCACAC